AAGCCCAGCATGTGTCTAGCTGGTGTACGATGTGACTTATCCTATTTATAGATCTGGTGGTCAGGAGGTGGGGATATATCCCAAGGAGGCATGTGTTTCCTTGTAAGCAAAAGCTTCTGCATTGTCTTCAAGCAAGAGGGGCAGTGCTAGCTTTTAACATGGAGAAATAATCCAGTTCTGCAGGCACAGAGAATTCAGGGAAAGCTGACGATTCAAGATTTGAAGTGCATCAATCAGGACTCTGACCTTAGTGTGACAGAGCTGTCAAGGGTGGAGAATTCAATTTTCCTTGGAGCTCTGCTATTCTAATAATTAAGACCTGGGTCTGATCCTAAGCTTTTTTTGTGCCATCTAGATGTATACTGTCTTCATACGTTGCCAAGGAGGCCCTCTTGCTTTCATGGTCTACTTTATATTAGTTATTAATTATCCTCAACTTATCATTGCCTTTCTTAATGTATTAATGGTCCCCAGTGACACCCATTCAAATTCCATAGTGCTTATAATAACCATTTCCCCCACACCTCTCAAGCATTTGAGATTTTGCCCCTGCCAGTCTATTCCTTTCTCCAGTATCTTATCCCAATTCACCTCTGCAGACGGTTTTAACCATTGTGTGATTACAGTATTACAAAGGCTCATTGCTAGTGAGCCAGTGGGTGATCCAGCTCCAAAATTCCATTTTCAAGTCTCCTTCCTGGAACTACTCTTAGTATCACAGGTCAGCTTCCCCATGAAAAATACAGTAAGACCCTGAGATTGTCATGCAGGAGGTACCAGCGCATCTTTAACAGGAGCTTTATCCCCCATTTTGTAGCCATAGAGAAAACATTACCCTATACTGAGGATGGCAGGGCAAAGGGCGGAATGAGCCTGAGTCCTGATGCCATCACTGAATTAGCTATTCCATCCTGGGATAGCCTGCTTCTTAAACTTCTGAAGCAAGCACGATGTCTCTTCTGTTTAAGACACTCTTAGGTATTCAGTTACTTGCAGCCAAAGGCATTCTAGCTCATGCATGATCTCAGTTAATGCTTGGCTACCCTATGCTGTGAGGTAGGTGTTATTATTATTCCCATTTCATAAACAAGAGAGCTTAAGCTTAGAGAATACTTGCTCAAGATCACACAGCTAGAAATTGGTGGAGCCCAGTCTAACCTTAGTACTATCTGCATCCAAAGTCCATGCTCTTCACCCTTTTATAAACATCTATGTGACAATTGATCAAATCAGGAGGTGTATGGTACCATCCCCTAGATCTAAAGGGAAGAGTAGCTTGTGTATAGCTAAGATCCACATACACCAGAAGAGCTGCCCTTAAAAAGCTCACTGACCTCTTACTTGGTGTATTGGGTTGAATGGTGGCCCTCAAAATAGAAGACCATGTCTTCATTGTCAGAACCTGCAAACGTGACCTTACGTGGAAAAAAGATCTTTGCAGATGTCATTAAGGATCTTGAGATGAAGAGATCACCCAGGGTTATCCAGGTGGGCCCCAAATCCAGTGACCAGTGTCCTTATAAGAGTCATACAGGGAAGACCTGCCAGACAGAAAGAGGAGGAGGCAATTCAGCCATGGAGGCAGAGACTAGAGTGATGCAGCTGCGAATTGAGGAACCCCCGAAGGCATGAGAGGCTGGAAGAGGCAAAAACAGAATCTCCCCTGGAGTCTTTGGAGTTAGCACACTGCCCACATCTTGATTTTGGACTCTGGCCTCTAGAACTATGAGGAAATAAATCTCTATTGTTTTACACCACCAAGTTTATGGTAATTTGTTGTGGCAGCCTAAGGAAACTAATACTACGTTTATTTCTTTATTATGTAAAGGTGAGCAGTATACTTTCTAAGTTTGGTTGAATATATTGCTCATGTGGCAGATTTCTATTGGAATCCTTTACACTTTAAAGATAATGTGTGAACTACTTCCTTAGCAGAGGTAGAGGCACCTGTAGAGACATGAATGAGCGTTTTCCTGGGAAGAAGGTCCATAGCCATCATATTCTCAATAGGGTCTTAACAGGATCCACAAAACTAAGAATTTCTGAGAGGGAGCCTGGGCAAATGGATGAATGACAGGTAGCTAAGCTCTAAGAGAAACAAGTGCTAAGACTGTGAAACATACAGAGAATAAGTTTCAAGTACGTGGAAGCTGGAAGGGTCCTGTGTGTCTGGTTAGAAGGCTTCATCTCTTTGGGAAGAAGCTTTGGCTTCCTCAAGAGTGCAGACAAGAAAGCAGAAGTTGTAAAGGTCTAGCAAAGGCGACTGCAAAGGGCCAACTCCACACACCTCAGAGTCTGGAGGAAAGGAAATGCTCCTTCTGGACAAAGTATAAAGAGGTTAGGAAAAAGTTCAAATTTCTCTAGTTAAAATCTGCAGGTGATTGAAGAAGGTAAATTCTGTTACAATGACAAATCAGTAAAATGTTGTCTCAAAAGACTTATTATGCTTCTATATTGGGGTAGAAAAAAGAGAGGGAAAACATTGGTGTCTAAAAATAAGGAATGGTATGAACTTAAGTCTGACTCTAAAAAGGAAAAGGAAGGATATATATTTTCTGAGTCTGTCACTATGAAAATTATGAGATGAAATTTAAAGAATATGAAACAAACCTTAGGCAGAATCTTGGCTGCCAAAACCACAAGCCCCACATGACAGCCCGCTCCACTGAATGCCATGGAAACTGCCTCCCCGGCAGCACGTGGGCTTGGAACCACCTGCACGATTCCTCCATGAAAGTACTTAAGATAGGGTTGGGGTAAGCAGAGAGAGAGAGTAAGGAGAGAGGAGAGTGTTGTAAGGGCAACTCTGCTTCCCAGAGAACTGGAACTGAATCCCTGGAGCCTTCCTAGCAAAATCATGAAGTGTTTTTAAAACAAATTACCTCACAGGTGTTTACAGTTCAGTTCTGCCTGCCCCTCTGCCAAACTGAAAGGAACGGGTGAAACCCAAAGCTGGCTTTCAGCCCCATCGTTCACAATTCTAAGAAGGAAACATCTTTCACAAAACAGGAACTTGGTCCTTGAAAATTTCACATACTACAGGCTTTCCTGCCACACACCTGGGATATAACATCCAATAGCTCATTTGCAATCTATCGCAGTAAATGTGCTAAGAGCTCAGGAGAAGCAAAATGCACATATGTATAAATGGGCCACAATTTCTAAGGATTCTGCACTAACATGGGTTTCTTCTCTGAAGCAAATACAGTGTTTCTAAAACTTACAAGAGTAAGGGAACATCAAGTAAGAAAGGCCTAATTAAGTTGGGGGTTTTGTTTTGTTTTGTTTTTTGTTTTTGAAAAGTCATGTTAGACTCTTTCCTCTTGGAACAGAATTAACAAATTAGCAGAGGAATAAAATGTACCAGTCATTTGACCATGTAAGTTACATAATGTAGAAGCACATTTTGTGACATGAGTATTCAATGTAGCACAACATTTTCCTCATCAAATTATCTCATTGTTCTTATCCCACGTTATTTTCCAAACAGGCACTTGCTTGTGAATGGCCTCCAGCATCTTGTAGGGTTTGCTGCTCTCAACACCTCCCATCTGTTGCCTGACCCAGAGGCCAATGATGGCTTTTCTATGTGGGCCTAATAACAAATGAAAAGAAGGCAGGCATTTATTACATTCAACAAACACATATATAGAAATTTCTGTGTCAGGCCAAATACTACCATAGCACTTTACAAGCATTAACTCATTTAATCCTCAAAAGACCTATGAGGTAGATTCTCTTTTCACCTCCATTTTACAGATGAAGAAACTGGTCTGATACTTACTGAGAGGTGGAGCCAGGATTTAAATGAGTTTGTGCAATTAACCACTATACCATGCAACCTTAAGTAGTAGTATTATAAAGGTGAATGAAGTCTTATTAATATATAATACTAAGGGCTCATATGTACGCAATTCTTAAAAATGAAGATTTGATTTTATCTTTTAAATGAAGATTTTTTTAAATGGAAGAGGTTACCCAGAATGTTCATGTGGACAGGTTTTCATCATGGGTTTCTAAAGTTGTAATTTGTGAAGTTTTATTATATGTATACAATGGTAGTGTTAGTCAATTGATATAATCAGCCTTCAAATCTGTATGCATCTTTAAATCATCAACTATATTTGTTTCTCTGATTATACAAGGAATAATTGTTCATATTTGAAAGATTCAGAAAAGTACATGGTGAAAAATAAAAATCACTCATAATCCCATCATCCAGAAATTGTCATTGCTGATATTTTCACATATATACTCTCTGGTCTTCTTTCTAAATGTACATCCACCCATCTGTATATTGTCTTAACATTTATTAAATGTGACATTTCATGCATATAATGGATGCATTATTCAAAGAAAAACAATTTATACTCGTTTTCAGTACCCTCATATGTATTAAATATTCTCTAAGGATTGAAAAAGTTTAAAATCAATACCTTAAGATCACAGAAGTACCATCAGAGTGGAAACAAATAATCAATGATATATATGCTAGAGCATTCTTAAAATCAAATATTCAGTCAAATGAAGTAACAACGGTGATATTTTTCAATATAATTTTATTTCATTTTCTGCATTACTTAGAAGCATCAGTAAGATGAAAACATTACTTGTTTCTTAAAACTGTGCACAAATTAATTGATGTGACACACCCATTAATGATTATTTTCTTAATGAATTGATTCTAAAGCTTCTCTAAGATACGAAGGCATAAGACAACCAAAAAGAAATATTGATTTATAACTGTCCTAATACTGCTCAGCATTTTAAAGTAAGCTATAGCCATAAAGCATGTTATAATTACTAATAAGGTAATCCACAGAATGCCTTGCTGAGCCAAGTGTAGAAGAAATAAATTGTTTCATATTGGAGGAAAGTGAACACTATAAATCAATATACTAGTGCGAAATTTTACATGGCTACATGCTATCATCCCCAGCATCACAAATGACTTAAGGAATTCCTCAGCTGAGAGTGGACTCCTATGGGTGGCCACAATGTCACAGTCTTGAAGACAACTTCCTCTTGACTGTGCCAGTAATTTTTCCATATGGATTGTCTAATGGCAGCAAGACCTGTAGAAAAACCACATGGTAACTTAAGGGACATTAAAATAGCTCTCTCCTCCTTTCTATGACTCAATATTAAAAACAAAAACAACTTACTAAACAGGAAAATGTATATGTCCTCCATTAAAGTTACTTCAAGCATGGTAATGCCTTATTATTCTGGCAATAGTTGAGAGATGAGTCAATTTTCCAGAAAATTTAAAAGCTTTTGAAAAATGTTAATCATTGAGATATAAATGTTTCTAAAAATGCATTCCATATCCCTGCTTTGTAAATGCAGTGTATTGAGCACAATTGACCTTTCCTTGGTGACTCACTTTGACCATGAGTCATTGTTCAATGCTGTAAGATCACCATGCCCTCAGAAATGTCTGAGGTCTGCAGGGTTGTTCACTCAATTCTAAATTATAGAATTCTAAATTCTAAGTGCCTCCAGATAGCAGTGCTTTTAGAGTTCTTCCATCTTCCCACCCTGTCATTTGTCACTTCTCTGCTGGTGTCAATTTGTCCAACTTCCTGTTTCTCATGTGTTATGTTCACTTTGTACATACCTGCTGGGTGAGAGTCCAAGAGTGGCTCCAGCCATCCTCAAAGTTCAGACACAAGGACAGCTTGTTTAGCCACTCAGGTGCCTTTATGTAGAGCCCTGACCCAAAGGAACTCAGGCCTTCCTGACTCCAAGTCCCCAGCTGGGCTCCACGAGGGAGCTGCAAGTCTGACTTCCTAGAGGGAAGAACCCTGTGGGCGCGGCCCCCCAGCACGCTGGGATTAGTGCAGACCTGAGGTGTCGGGGGCCCTCAGGAGGCCTCCTCTCTCTGCCTGGGGTTCTGAGCTAAGCACTGCTCCAGCCATGACACCTGATCCTTTTTTCTATTTAGGGTCCATTTGTTTAGCCTCTGGTGGACTTGGCCAGGATTACTTTCAGGTCCCTCTTCTGCCCTTTAGAAAACTTTAAAAAGACTTTACATTCTAATGAATGACATTCTGGTAGCCATATCCTTTCCTTCCTCTAAAGTAAATAGTGCTGCCTCTCTTTGTGGCTGGATGTACAACATGTGGGACCAAGGTTGCTCTCCTCAGCAACTCAGAACTCTAGATCACCTATGTGGGCACCTAAGCATGACCTTTGTTTCCAGATGTGACTCCCCCAGCCTCCACCTGCAGCTGATGGTGGTCAAAGCCTGCTAGAGGCCACCCACATTACTCGCAAAACAGAAAGGAGGTACCTGGCCCGAAGGATTATGAGGCTTCTGGGCCAGCAGGTACAGAATGTGGGACCTTCTGAAGACCCCCTTCATTAGCGCTTATCCACCAAAGGATATAAGTCTACTAGAGCAGAGCCATGCTAATAGATGGCTGCTTCCCTATCTTACTCCCCAACACATACTAAAAGAAGTTACTCAAAATAATGTTTTCTAGATAATAGAAATGTGTGGGAAGCTGCAGCAAATTGAGAAATCTTATTCTGAATGTGGTCCAAGAGGGAAGAATGGTTCTGATCTCCCTAGAACTGACCACACCAGCCCACCAGTCAGGACTTCAGGCTGTCTAATCAGACACACTGAGTGGTTTAACATTCTGCCATGGCTTAAAAAAAAAAGCAGGAGAAATGCTTTTTCCAAGACAAAGGGTTCTTTTCAAAAAATTAATTTCTGCACCTTACCTTCTGTAATTGCAATTAGAAACATAAATACCCTTTCATGTTTTCCTATGTGTATTTTATGCCACCGAACTGACTAGTTAATCAAAAGGTAGGAATGATGGAAGAAAGTGAAAAACAGAATCTTTTTTTCTCCTCATTGCCTCATGATGGAGAATAATGAAGCTGTGTCCTTGTATGGCACTTTTTGGGGAAGCAGATCTCAGAGTTGTTTCCTTGGGCACACTCTGTTCCTTCTCTGTCTTTCTCTCTTGGACTTCCAACCTTCTATAATTATTCATCCACTTCGAGGGCACTCCAACCTCAGGCATTGAAAGGCCCAGAATTGAAGAGGGCTGTAATCACTGGCAACTATAAATATTCCTCAAAGCAACAGTTGCTAAGAGTTTTATTCGGTGACACTATCATCCCAGGCTTATAAAAGGGGCAGAAGGGGATGGGACAGAGATGTGCTTTAAATATATTTAAAGTTCTCTTACCTCTTCCTTGTTGATCAGACCCATTTTGGACATGTCTATATTGAAGTAGTGAATGTTTGGCAGGCTGATTTCCATATCTTCTATCTGGAATCCACAGTGGCATGCATCACATTAGGAGCTGCGAGCCTCCATCTCTGTCACTCCAGCCACCCTCACCTCCCCTACCCTTGCACCCATTACTCAGGTTCTCTCTCTGACTTGGAGACACCCTCTGATGTACCTCCACTGCCCGACATTGTTCTCTCCTACTAGTTCTGTGATTAGATGGTGGGCCTACTCTTCTCCCCTCAGTGTACAACATCTGTTTCTCTGAAAAGAAGGGGCTCCTCGGGTTAGAAATGTGGGAGACCTCTTCGACATCCAACTGGCCTCCAGGTACTGGCCAGTCAACATTCTAAATTCCTCCTCATTCCACTCCCACCTTTCAGGCCTGTACCTAACACTTATAGGCCCTGCAGTAGGAGTATAATTGGAGACCCACATACCAAATGTATAAAGATTTTAAAGTTATATTAATCAAGCTAAAATTTTTTGAGTGAAATATGTTCTACTCTTCTAACTTGACAAATATACCCTTCATAACAACCTGGAAGGCCAGGTATTAATTTAAAATTCTCTAACTTCTTGGAGTACTATGCTGGGGCATGGCAGCATGGGAAGAGCCAGCCCCTTGCCCCTGGCCCATCCCACCTTCTCTCTTGGACTCACAGGGGTAGACACTCCAGCTTGCATGTCAAGCGCCATCCATACCTCCTGCAAACATCTGCCCCTTTGCCTACTCTCAGGCCTAAGTGTGAACACCAATAGCACGATTCGCCCTCTGGAAGACAGATCTCGAGAAGAGATTTGCCCAGGTTCCAGAAGTAGTCTCACGGCTATTTGGACAGGAAATTCTGGGGAATGCACTGGGCCTCTGCAGGGTACATTGCTGTGGCCCCACTGATTGTTCACTCAGTGCAGGGAGGCATAGCCAGAGGAAGGCCTTAACGGGGCCTGTAAAATGCTGAGCCATGGCCGGAGTCTCTCTTGTCCAGGTCTAAGGATGGTACTCCTCCTCTCCAGCCCCACCATGGCCCAGACTCTCTTTGCAAGATTCTGAAATAGATCCCAACATGTCTCCTTGCCTATGGTCCATCAACCTTTTCATTCATCACACTTCTGTCACAGTGATTTTTCTAGAGTACAAATCTGGCACAAAACATCCTGCTTAAACCCCTTGGTGGCTCCCAGAAGCCTTCAGGATAAGGTACAGACTCTATAAATAAGCCTAAAAAGGCCCTCTTGACTGGCTCCTGTAGTTCCTGCCTCATTTCTATATGGAGTGACTATAATTCATTCATATATATCCATTCACACGTGGTAGGCCCTCAACAGTAAACAACTGTATCATGCTATTTCTTGTCTCCATACCTACCCTACTCCCTCACCCTTGAGAGTAAACTCAGATAACCTCTAGACTCAAATCAAACATCCTTCCCTCTAGAAAACCTGGCTGAACCCATCTCCTATACCTGAGTTAGCTGCTTTGCTCTGTACTTTCATAATACTCTTTTCTCTATTGAATTGTTAGTTTACTTATTTTGTTTGTTCACTGAATGATAAGCTCTTTGAGGGTAGTGACTATATCTAATTCATCTTTGTATCCTTCATGTGCTGCCAGAGACATAATCACCATTCAATAAATGAATGAATGAACGGGTGGGTGGGGAAGTAGGTAGATGGACAGATGGATGGATGGATGGATGGATGGATGAAATCTCTCTACATCTATCTTTCATTGTCTGGTTTTCCTGAAACACATAACCTTTGTCTAATTTCCCCTCTCCCTCAAGTCATTCAAGTGTCCTGAATATGAGGCTTAAATCAATGGCAGGCTGAAGAGACTCAAACAATTTTCAACAAAACTCAAGGACTACAACCGTGGCCTGTGTTTTCAGGTTAGACAGATTTTTCCATTTTTGCTCTCTTCTCACTTGCTATAACAAGCTTTTGAACAACAACAGATGTCATTTTTCATGTGTCTTCCACTTTCTTATTTTAACTCTCAACTCTTTCTCAGAGCTGACAGAAGACACACGTTCTCCCAATCCTCAGAATGGCAACTGACAGAACATACCTCAGGAACTCGGCTCAGGGAGAGCACCTGGATATCATAGAGGGTCTTCTGCACAGAGGGCGAGTACTCGCCTTTGTCATAGGGCCCAGCAAATTTCTCCAGGACAAGGTCCCGAATGGTGCCCCTAAAACACAGAGAAGGTCACTGAGGATCCTGAAAGGAATTTTAGGAATGTATTAGGAAGCTAAGAAGCAGTGACCTATCTGTCCCCCAGAAAACAATGTTATGGATGTTTTTAGAAAAGATTAGTATCTTGTAATGCCAAAAACAAAACACCTCACTTCCCATTCCCCTATACACATACACACACACACACACACACACACACACACACACACACCATTCAACAAACATATTGAGCATCACTAGGCTGTCTTCATAGTTTGGCACCAGGGCCCAGTGGGCATTTTAGGGTAAATTTCCTGTCATGTTCAAAGAACCTAAGAAGAAGACTCCCAAGTATTCTTACCATCTTGCTGCTCTGCTTGGCTGGCTCATTGAATTTTTACATTTGGAGGTTTACTCTGTGCCAGCCTCTGTGTTTTTTAGATTAGACAGATTTTTCTGTGCTAAGCATTTTATGTGATGATGTCATTGAATTCTCTCAATATAGCTGAAGTAGGTACTATTATTATCCCCAATTAGAGAAGAAGAACCTGAGCTTAAAAGTTACATGATCTGCTCTAAGTCCCTCTCTTTGGTAGGAGGCCCAGCCTACAGTACTATCCTGCCTCTGGCATGTTCAATTTCATGCTCTTTTCAACATAAATACATCAGGCTGCTGCCCATGGAGAGCACTTGAAGTAAAAAGGAAGGAAGACTGAGGTGACATTCTCATCATGCATTTAAAAACCTATCACATAATAAAAGAAGCAGAGAAAAACTACACCAGTGGGAGGGAATGCTGTGGGAGTGGGTGATGGGGGAAGGGTATGCATGCGGATTCTAGTTTATGATAGGGTAGAAATTTCTACAGAGCTTTAGCAAAGGAATGAGATACCTAATCAAAAAGCAAGTTCTGAAAGTCGAGAGGTCTAATTACTCCCTGTCAGGGTATAATAATAATCATACCTTTATATTGTGAGTTATCAGAATCAAAATGGAGTCACTTGTGTCAGACACTAAATAAATAAATAAATAGAGCCAGGAAGCTGAGGGAGGGCCCTCATGCACAGATGCCTGTAAGAACTATTGCAAAGACTCTCTGAAGGGCTCTTATGTACATATGCCTGTAACAAGAATTTTGCCAAGGACTTTTCAAACAGCGGCTCGCGACGTGAGTCACAAGGACAGCTAGCCGGATGTACAAGAACACTTGCCTGACACGGTCTCCACTAATGAGCTGGCGTCAACTCCCATGATAGCCACTGTAACCAGTGTTCTCTTTGTCTCAAAACAAATTACGTACACATTTTCCTTTTGCTTTTAAAAGCTTCCCCTTGCCTCAACCTCTTAGGATACACCTATGTTTCCTGCAGCCAGCCCACAAATTTGCAGATTCCCTGTGTGTTCCTAAATAAATTCATTATCTTTGAGAATCTCTCTCAGTTTGTTATTTCAGTTGACAATATTTTTAAGGCATTTAATGCTTATAAAATGCTTTTGTGAACATCATATCATTTTGAGTTTAGCCTAGATTGACCAATTATCCCAGTTTGCCCAGAACCAAGAGGTTTCCTGAGACATGGGACTTTCCGTGTTAAAACCAGGAAGTCCCTGACAAACTGGAACAAGTGGTCACCCTCGTTTAGCCTTCTCTGCATCACTATGAGGTAGTAAGGCCAGATATTCTCTTCATTTGATGCAGTGTTTCTTCAAGTGTGGTCCCTAGTCCAGTGGCATCTGCATCCCCTGGGAGTTTGCAAGAAATGCATGTTCTTGCACCCCACCTCAGTCCTACAGAATCAGAATCTCTGGGGGTGGGCCCAGCAAGCTTCGTTTTCTGATTCTGTGTGATTCTGATGCACATGCATGTTTAAGAACCACCAATTTAATAAATTGAATAAACAGAAGGGATTTCTGAATAGTGGGAGGTTGAGTTGAATAGCCTCTAAGTTTCTCTTTTACATCCTAAGATTCTATGAAGTCTGGGCCCCTGGGACAAGGGCAGACACGACATGCACATGTTCATACCAGGTAGCCTCGAAGTCCACATCCCTGCACTGGTGGTAGCGCCACTTGCAGTACACTTGGGTGGCAAAGCATCGGTCCTTCACCTCAGGGAGGGTGGTGAACTGGTCCTTGATGAAACCTTCAAATCCAGACTGTGTTGTTTTCAAGACCTTGAGGTCTTTGATTCCAGAATGAATGACGGGGGGTCCTGTTCCAAGTAGAAAGTCAGGAGTGGCAGAGGTCATAAACAAACAGTGCCTTGCTGCTGATACCTAGCACAGAGGATCCTGGTCATTAAAACATGACACATTCTGTACAAAAACTACATCACCGCCCATGTTTTCTGTCATCCTACTTCCTCTGAAGTCCCAGTGAAGAGGATAGTGTGCCTTTGCTTCCATTCGGATTCCATGACTCCCTGCCCTGTCTTGCCCTAGAAAATCTGAAGGTCTAAGATTAAACTCCATTGTGTATTGAAGGTCACAGAAATGAATACATTCCTTTCAACTACATGCGGGAGTGTCTTCTTGGCCAACTCACCTCATGTATTTTGAGTTCCATCTCCTCCAACAGGTGATCATGCTGGAATGTGTTAATAAGGTCCTTAAGAGCCATTCCTCTACCTGCTACTGTGATCCCTTTACTGGGGGTAGTGGTCATGCTGATCAGCTACAGTAGCTGATGATCCCAATCTCCACTAGGCTGTGATGGCATCCCAGTTCCCTTATGGTTATCAGCTCAGCAAAACCAGGCAGCTTCATAAATGGGTAGCAGCGTGGGCCTGGCTGAGCCTAAATAAGACAGGGAAGATGGAGCTGGTGACTCACAAGGGATAGATCTGCCTAAGTTGATATCTATAAAGGCTTTTGTTTTTTCTGCTGAAGGAGAAGGGACAAAGTTGTTTCATGGGTACCTGAGGGAGAGAGGGGGGAGTTGAAGACAATGGAAGGGATGATATGGCTCTCCTTCTGTCTCTACTGCCCCTTCATAAGGTAATGGGGCAGGTGGAAGAGTGACAGGTGTCATCTAAAAAAGAACAGTATTAACATTACTATGACATTATTTGTCTGCACAGGCTGGCAAGAATTGGGGACATTCAGAGAGCACTTGACAAACCCTAATAGCAAAGTGCCATGGCATGATTATTTAAAAAACCTTTTTTTCAGTCTCTTTGTTAGTTCCGACCAGTATCTATTCTTTTTGGTATGTTTAATCTAAAAATCAAGAGCCAGAGGTGTCAGGTATCATTACACACATGGTCTTAGTTGAAGAACAAGAATATAACTCATGATCCTCAATTAAAATCCAAGGAAGTGCTTAAAAATGCAATGGTTTACATCACCTATGTGGTTTCCATTGCTACAGTTAACTCAGGAGCTGTGGAGTTTCAAAAGTAGGTAAATAAAGTCTATATTTCTGTATTTTCCATGCTTCAGTATACACCTATCAGATAAAACATTTAATCAGATATGTCCTGATTAAAGAAGATATTCTGTGCAGAATGTCCCAGGATAATGCAGTGAAACAGGAAATCATCCTTGTTTAACTTTCTGAAGTACTTACTGGAAGCTACATCTGAAGAAGGAGCAAGAGAAAGATACCAGCGATGCCTTAATGCCTTCAGCTGGCTGAGCTTATCGGATTCTAAATGTATAAAGTTATGATCTCACAAAATCAACATTGTTACATGCAGTGAGTGTGAGCCTCAAACCCAGTAGAACTACAGAAACAATCAATAAGTATCTGTTGAATGAATGAATGAGTTTAGCAAGATTGATTCATGTCAAGGATTAAGTATTGCACAACTTAGTATCTTTCTTTACTAGACAGTTCAGCCCCAGCAAACTTTACCATTTCCCTTCCTGGTCCCCTCCAACTCACACACAGTGTGGCAGGGCGTGAAAGGAAGGGTATTAACCTTGGCTAAGAAACTCCTCTCTGTAGACGTACCTTTGGTTGCTGCAGTTTCAGTCTTTATCTTACTTAGTTCCCAAAACTCTATAAAGCAAGTATTTTAATGTGACTTTTAATCATTTGCCCATAGTCACATGGCTAGAAACTGTCAGAGGTGGAGTTTAAACTCAGCACCACATTATGAGATCCCATGCTTTTCTTCTGCTTTTTGGATCACTTCCCATCTATGCAATGGTTCCTCCTTCCTTTGACCCTTTCCCCATTTGTGTTCTGTAAGTGGCCTTTCCAGGAGACAAGGTTGCCACCTCCTATCCACAGTGGCTTTAAGGACCTCAGATAGAGCACCCTGCCTGAAAAAGACTATCTCCATTGGCCAGAAATTGAGATTGAATAATCACTTTTTAGAGTTGGCTCCTGGGTATCTAAAAACCTTTGTATTCCTTAAACATTTCCTATTGAAATGCAAATAAATATCCCTTAAGGGAGTGACTCATTAAGCCTTTGTAAGGTACTATGATAATCTACTTCCCATGGTAAGCCTTTCTAGAAAACAAAATCCTATAGAAATGAAACATGGGTTTGCAGTCAGGAGTGAGGTTAAAATGAAACCCTTGCAGGAGAATAAAAAGAAGGCGAAAAAGAACCAAAGACAACCATTATCTACATTGTTTTCTTCCTATTCATCTGGCCTTGACTGCTGGCATCTGTGTGAGCCAGTCAAACTTTGGCTCGTCCAATGGTGTTAACCGTAAAAGGATTCCTGGATGCAATGTTGCATAGTGGTTGAATCGACGGCTTTGAGACTCCGATTCCTAGAACTCAAATCCCAGTGCTCTCCCTGCATCCTCAACCCCCATTTTTATGAGCTCCATGCTCCTGAGGGAATTTTTTTACCCTCTCTCTACCTTGATTTTGTCATCTGTAAAATGGAGACGATAATCATACCTATTTCCTACAGCTGCCACATGTCTAAGAGAATGCACTAAAGGACTTAGTAGAATGGCTGACCTACATAAATGCTCTACAAATGTGATGATGATGATTTTGCCATAATTGACTTTTTCACAGTGACTTCGACAACTTACAAATATTTCCCACGTTTCACAAAGTCTTACTGGGTTCTGAAAACTACTTCTAATGTGCCGTCCTATCCATCTCCAGCCCTAGGATAAGATTTATTGACCTTAAGGGAGTGTCAGTCCTACTAGGCCACTTTGAAATGATCTGCTTTCTCACTGGAATCTAAAAATGGAGAAAGCAGTTGTATTTTTAAAATGTGTTTTGGCATCAGTTTCACACAGAATAAAATGTCTCATGTTCCCCAAGACAATTAACTATTGCCACAGTTTTGGCAGAACACAAACCAGCTACTCTGATGCTCTCATCATTCTATTAAAAACAACAACAACAACAAAAATGATTCTCTCTGAATGTTAAAAGAATTTTTCCCTGGCACACATCAGACATGCTGGATGAAATCAGAGAGCTTATTTTATCTTCTCTGTTGGCAGTGCCCCAGCTTTCTGAACATTGGTAAGAACCTGAGGCTTTCAAAATCATGGGCCCATCAACTAAAAATATGATGCCTCACACCCTCTAAAAAAGATTCCCATTTAGACTAACAAGTAGTAATTCAAAAACTGTCCTTTTCTAGGTTACGCCCCATGAAATCACTTAATCAGCTTTTTTGTTTTGTTTTGTTTTTCTGCCATGGTTATGGAGTAATGCAAAAGAAAGATTTTTCACATTTCACTTTGCTAGAACATAATCTTTTCTAGCTTTTAGTGTCCTCCTACACACTTAGCAGATTGTGGCTTATCTCTCAGAGAATCATACATCCTACCCTTTAGCTATCTAAGGGAAAGAAACTCACTGCGAATTAATAGAAAATAAGCCCAATTCCTTACCTACGCATCAGGTGTCACAAAGCACAAAGCTTTATTGAGCCAAGAAAAAGATCTTGTCATAAGAGGATAATTGCTTCCACATTTAACACCTCCAAAAAGGACACAAATAGCTGAAAGGCAGATATTTTAAAACCATATTAAATCATTCTAGTAGAAAATCTCAAACTTGTAAAGTGCTAGAAAAAGTAAAGATCGATTAAATATTTGCCTTGGAGAGTCCATTTACCTCATGCAGGGAGAGTGAAAGCTCCCTCTGTGCAATTCTGGATGGAAAGAGATGACATCATCCAGATGGTAGGAAATTAACTGGGCTTTTGTACAACCAGGTGATGATCAAGAAGATTTTTAAAGACCACAAATCTGCCAAGAATTTTTCTTACAGAGGAACCGAAGAGCACTTTAGTCTTGATATCAGAAGGACATAAACAGACTTCTTGGCAGTAGCCATCTCTGTCCTGGATCTCCCACTTCTCCCATCTCACTTCTTCCATCTGCCCATCTTGTCACCTCTTAAATGTGTTCTCCTCCAGGACGGATTTCATCAGCTGCCTTCCTTACAACCATCCCCCTACCCTCACTACCCTTCATGTCAATAGATATATAGGAAGTATTTTTCACTACCAGAAGACACAGTCTAGTATTTGAGGTCTCTTTTCCATCTTCCATTCCTCTATTTAGCCATGCTTTAGCTGAATTTCATAATTAGCGTCAAATGGGAGAAACTCGGTGCTGAAGAAATTGTGAGTTATAATTCAAATAGTGCAGAGGTTTGGGGGTCGATTTAGTTCAAATTAGTGACTCGATCATACCAATGACTTAAAGCTCCGTTAAGCTTGTAGTTTCTCACTGATAAATGACAGAAAGAGTTCCGAAGATTCGATGCCGTATGATACCTAAACCAACAGCCTGCATCATACACCTAGGGCCTAGTTCTCCTCTCAGGGCTTGAGAAGTCACAAACATAACACCAGCCCTCAATCCTCTGAGCAAACAAATTTATTTCTGTCTTCCAGATTCTCCTGTGGAATCAGCAGGCTTTGAAACAACTAAAATACAGCCTAGTGATGGAGCTGTAAAAGATCCGCTAGGAAGAAACAGTGTAATGGGAGTTTTAGAGCAATTCCCAGGGCTTAAAGTGGTGCTTGAGGTTCAGTAGGATTTCTAGAAATGTTTGTTCATTTGCTATGTAAGAATGAATATAGTCCATCGGGAGACACCCAGTCACACCTCCTCCTGGGAAGAGTCCTTTTGGGAATAGCATGACTGAACATGTGATTAAGCACATGTGTTTGAGGGGGCAGAAGTCTTACCATTCTAGCCAGTCCCCCACCAAAGCACTACTCAGGTGTTTGTAACAACAGCCTTCACCATGTGAATTTGTGAGTGGTGTGTGTATAATATAATTACTATTTTCTTTAGTTAAGCCTTTACAAGGGCATTTCTTAGGATAATGATTGTAACATTCTCTCACATTACGATTCCTACAGTTTCAGCTCTCGGATAATAAGCAAATAAAGAACTAAACTTTGCTACCAAAAGAGCATACATCCCTACTCTCCAAAGAGGGACAGAGTAGAAATGTCATCTTCATACACCCAACACTGAAAGATACACACACCCATATACATGTGTACACACGTACCTGTATACACTTAAGGCAACAGATGTCTCTTCCGCTACCCCAATCCCTGCCAGCCCTGCATGAAATCAGAGGGGGAGTTGGAGGCTGGACTCTAGATGAGTCAAGCTGGAGCTTCTGGGAACACTGCCACAATGATCTCAATACCCTGAAGCTTTGTATCTTTCTGCAGAAAGAAAAAGTTTTAACCTGATTATGGTGGCTAGTTTTTCCACTCAGCTGCAGCCAGGTGATTAGAATTCAAGCTGATAGCAACTCTTGGTCATTCCTGGAAAGAACGGGATATAAAAAGAAGTCCGTTTTCCTTTTGTGATCAGCAGAGCCCTATACTTGGCCACTTGACTTCCACCTCCATGGCTCTACTAAAAGTATTCTGGGAAGTCACCAGTGACGCCTATTTATTGACAACATAGTTTCTCATCAGTCCTCTCAGAACCCCAACTTCTTAAATCTCCTGTGGCAGAGGCGAAATCTACTTGCTCTGCCTCCTGGCACTCAGCTAGATGACATTTTGCAGTGTCCCTTGTAGTGAGGTGTGACTATGTGACTGAGCTCTCTCCAGTAGAAATGATCCATGCTGTTTCCAGGCCGGGAGCTTATGCTTCAGGGACTTTGCCCCTCCTTTGGCTCCTCCAAGCTCTTTCTTTGGCTGTCTGGTATGGGGGTCTATTCTCAAGATGACACCAAAAAGGAAGGATTAAAAATATAAAGCTGCCACTAACCTGGGTTCCTGAAGAACTTCATGGAGCACAGCATCCACCTGACCCCCTTAACCCCACACACAGACACTGAACTGGACTTCTACAAAAAGAAGTAAACTTCTAGTGCTGAGCCACTGCATATGGGCCTATTTGCTATGCATCTTGGTTCCTCAGTAACTCAGAAATCCCTAATTTCCTGAAATGTCTTTTTCTTCTGCTTCCATGACACTATCATCCCTCATCTTCCTTCTATCTCTCTAAACATTCTTCTGTCTCAGTTTTTAAACTGCCCAACCCTTACAGTGGGGAATTTTTCTCAGGCCATCTCCTCTTTCAAACTCTTCTCACTTTGTATGTTTTTCTGGAACGGTCTCCTTCTTCCCTATGGCTTTACCTACCCCCAATCTGCTGTGGCTTCACCTGCCACCAATCTGCTGATGTGCCCCAAATCTATCTCCATCACATGGTCCCACATTCACCAGCTTCCCACCTGAAAACTTCCCCTGTGTGTAATCTCTTTAGCCAGTTGTCCAGTCCTCCCACATTAGGATCAATTTTAACTCCTCTTTCTCTCCAATCTTTCATCCCTACTCAACCACTAAGACCAATTGATTACACTTCAAAAATGTCTCACATAATGTTTCCTACAACCTCTCAGTCCCTCCAGCTCTATTTCTACTGCTTTAGTTTAGACCCAATCACTTCATCTTTGCAAGAAGTCTCCAAATGTCTCACTACTGCCTGTTTCTCTAGCCTGTCACCATATCTTGTTCAGAATTTCGGAACAAAAACATGCACATACTAATCTGACCATTAGAGACCTTCTCTGGTTCTCTGTTGTCACTCTGAACAATAACTATAGCTATTATTTAAGGAGATCTTCCGGTGTGCCCAGTACTATGCTAAATGCTTTAATAAAATAAATTCAGCATTTATCTCCTTTGTTTCCCTGGACAGTTGTTGAAGTGGGCACTGGTATCCTTGTTTTACAAATTAAAACCCACCCACCAATGTAGTATAAGTAACCTTGCTCTTAATCACAAAGTTATTAAGTAGTGGAGCTCAAATTCAAATATGATTCATTCTGATCTCAAGGCCTCTTGCTTCACCACTGTGCAAAACTGCCTCCATCTTATACTAAACTCGTGTATAGCACATGAGGCCCTTCAGATTCCAGCCCAAACCACCAACTTTTTTATCTTCATCTCCCTTCTTACATTCTAGAAATCAGACCCACTGAACTTGTTACTGTCCCTTAAATGCTTTGCCCTTTCCACAGTTAAATAAATTAATTCCCCTGCATAGTCTTCAGCATGAGGCAAGTGCTCAAAATATTTTACTTCCCCTCTTCCACTCCTCATGGATTATACTCATATGTATCCTGTTTCTTCTGCCTGTAATTCCCTTTCCTCCTTCAATGCGCAGCATATTCTGAATCAGTTTTCAAAAGTCAATTGGAATATTTTTTCCTCCCCTGTCAAGCCTTCCAGACAGACTGCTCTGGAAAGAGTTTCTTCCACGTCTCAGTTCCCATAGCATGCTTTTAATCCCTTCATCATAGTCTTTAGCCTCTCATATTGCAATCAATCTGTCTGACTAGGGTCAGGGAACATCTTATTCCTCTCTTTCTCTACAGCATACATGATAGGTCCTCAAAGTCTAATTGCTGAATGAATAGTATATGAATGAATGACATAAGCACTTTGCATAAATGCTCTCATTGTTAATTAGCTCTCTTGAGGCCTAATCCTAGCTGCTGTTATGATTTCACATAATTGAAAAATGTAACAAATGTTAAAAAGCATATCCCAAAAGTCACCAAAAAGCAGTTCCAAGTGACGCTGATCTGTACAGTAGCCACTAAGCCACATGTGGCTATTAAGTACTTGAATTATGGCTAGCATAGCTTGAGATAAGCTACAAATATAAAATATAGAATTTTAAAGATAATTTTATAAAAAGAGTGTAAAGTATTTCATTAGTAATTTTTATACTTATTGCATACTGAAATATTTTTGATGCTATTTAAATAAAATATATTATTAAAATTAATTTCCCTAATTTCTTTTTGCTTTTCTAATGTGGTTATGAAAACAAATTTAAAATTACATATATGGCTTACATTATACTTTAGTTGGGCAGAGCTGATTTCGAGTTTCTAATTTTATGAGGGCAGTTAATGAGGCTTGGGTAGGATAGCACTGAGTCAGGAAACTTCTTTCTCTCTCCTCCAAAGCTGTATATCTAAGACAAGAAGGAAGGAAGAAGAAAAGAAGGAAGAAGGGAGGGAGGAAGAGAAGGGAGAGGGAAAGAAGGAAGGAACCAAAGAGACAGAAAGGAAGGAAGGAAGGGCTAAGGAGAGGAGGGAAGGAAAGAAAGAATTTAGTTCCAATTTAACTTAACAAATAGCTCAGAAAGCTAATATAGCATATGACTACACACCTGGTGATAAAGATCATCTTTTCCACCAAATACAACAACTATTTAGTCTCTTTTATATAACATTAATTTTATAACTGTTTTTATAACATTAATTTTATAAATATCAAACATTGAGAAGGCCCTAGTTATGTATAGACTTTAATTCAGAAAGTGGAAAATATTTAAAAATAGCTAATACACTAGAACTTCCTAAGGAGGGCATTATCCAAAGGAACTCAGAATGAGAAGGGACCTTATATTTTATTAACCTTATAATAAATCTGATATTCATTAGATGCCACTCCAAATTCCTACTAAGGAGGAAGGGAAGAGAACAGCAAAGAAAAAAAAAAGGGAAGAGTAAAGAAGGGAGGGAAGGAAAATAGAAAAATTTCAGAGTCAACCCTTTCATTTTATAACAATCATTAAAGTTTTTTTTTTTATTGAGATAAAGACATTATTACCAGCTTTGGCTCCATGGTTCTTAGAGGTCCTCTAGTCTAACTCTTAGCCAATTTTTGAACTCTGACAAGCTCAACAAATCTGTGGAAATTTTAATATTTGCTAAGTTCAATTATCAGTACTAATAACACCTATGTTATAATTGTGTTTCATAATTAATTTTGAAATTTCCTAGCAAATAGAATTATATAACTGCCATTGCTAACTTAAATGAGATACATTTTATAGGAATTACAATATTAGTGGTTTTATTACACAAATAAAATTTCAGGAAAACTTGACTATTACTTAGTAAATATTTCCTATGAAGGTTACTATAATTGTGACATGATATGGCACAAAAAATATTGGTCAGAAAATTCAGAGATTTGGGTTCTTTTCAGCCTGGGCCTTTTTAAATTTTGCCTTACCTCAAAATCTGGTAATAAAAATGATCTACCTGACTCAATCCCCAGGGTTGTTGCAAAATGAATTATTTCATTTTTATATTTTAACACAAAAAGTAGATAATTCTTTAATGTAATTCAAAGTCACAATATTCATTTCTATCTCAGATTTAAAAGTCTTAAAAATTCTCTACAGTTTTCCTCCATGTTAATAAACAGCATTGTTTAGAAGAAAGGAAGAAAAAAGAAAACAAAACCACCCTGAAGTTGCTACTATAGAATCAAAGCATGAAAAATAGTTTCTTACCACTTCTCAGTTGTTCAACTTCACAGAAGTGTGTTCCAGTGGGAGTGTGAATAAATGCATGGACATGCTTAACTCCATTCTGAAAATTAGGGAAACAAATTATTTCCAGGAAAATTTCAGTACATGCCATAAAGCCAATTTCTTTAATTAAACTGAGAGCACAAATAAGTGAGTTAACCTTTTCAAGACGCTTCCAAGGGATTTCCTCCACGTAGACTTGAGCTCGGATTACATGGTTAAAAGAAGAAAGAAAATACTCACAAATATTCACACCAAAGGCTTCTATGTTTTTGATCTGTAAAAAGAAACAAGATGCTTCAAACCAGAAATAATTGTACCATTTAAAAATAATTTATAAATACTGTTAAATGAAATTATGGGAGGTCATCGCTTTGGACTAAGTTCCTGCATTAGGCCCCAACAGACCAGACGAAAATGGAGTCACTTATGCTAAATGCCACATAATCAAATTGAAGCTTTAAGGAAGCAGATAGATACCAAAACAGACCAGTTTTTCCTGAAAACAGAAGATTCCAGTCTATCTGAGTCAGCATAATAAGGAAGTCCCCTCTGCTTTAACTCTTACCAAAAAAGTAATCTGAAACCTGATGTTAACCAATCAGTTTTTTTTTTCCATTGTTCTGTTTCTTGTTCCCATCTTACAAAACCCAATGTTCTGTTCTTGCCCGGTGAAAGCTCTTACTCTTCTTTGTAGAACAGAAGCTATCCCTAATGGTAAATAGAAACCAATTCAATCTATAACTAAACTTGTTGTAATTTTATCTTTCGATATTGCTCATGATGTTCTGTTTCCTGATGAATTGCGTTTTAGAACTAGACAAGCACAGACTAGAGTCTATCTCAAGAGAAAAAGGTGTTTATCTCAGTTTTTTACTAGAGCTCCCAAATGAAGTTAATAATCACCATCACCAGATGAGACTCTTCCGGTTTTAAAAGAAACCCATTTTGCAGGAGAGGATGTGTCAGCGGATGAGCGAAAAATAACTTAACATTCAGATTCTTCTCACAGTGAGTTCAGTCATCACTTGTACCAACCACAGCACACTATAACACTCTGAACTCTATGAGGCTTCCCAGTTTCCCAAGGAACGTTAATGAAGGGCCACCTCACCTTCCGTACCTTGCATACAGGCCTTCTATTGATCCCAGCTCTCCACCCCCATAATGCAGCTTCCATATTAATCCCTAGTAATATTTTATGGTCTTAGCACAGTCTGCAAATTATTAATGGCTTTGCCTATAATTAAAGTGAAGTATTTGTACAGGCTTCCCCAGTATAGTTCTGTTTTATACCTGTAGGCCCAGAATAATTATGAATAGCATCCTATTTTGAGTTCAAAAGTGTCATGGTTTGGATAAGAAGTTACACGATCACTCTATCCATAGCGAATGACTTTAAGTAGTTTTTAACATTCGGGTCCTTTCTTCACTTTTCTGCAAACTCCTACACAATACAGGAAATACAAGAATCTGTTGTACCTGGCCCTTGTCCATATCACGGTACAGGTCTACTTTCAAATGATTTTTTTAAAGAATGCAATTCTTTTTTCCACAGCCCCATCTATGTTTGCTGGGTCATTCTGATTAGCAAGAGAAAGGTTCAGGGTAGAAATAGGAGTTGTAGAAATTACATTGCAATGTTTGTTCATTTAATGAATTATGGGTATGGATTTCTTGAAAAAACATGAGAAAAGAAGCTTTCCAGTCTACATTTCTTGTCTTTTTAGATTTCGTGGCAAGTAAAAAAAAAAAAATCACTTTGAATTGCCCGGAAATCTGGGTGACCCAGCACAGCTTCAATCACACTTAAAGAAACCAGAGGTGGGGTCGGGCGTGGTGGCTCACACCTGTAATTCCAGCACTTTGGGAGGTCGAGGCAGGCGTATCACGAGGTCAGGAGATCGAGACGATCCTGGCCAATACGGTGAAACCCCGTCTCTACTAAAAATACACAAAAATATTAGTTGGGCATGGGGGCATGTGCCTGTAGTCCCAGCTACTTGGGAGGCTGAGGCAGGAGAATCGCTTGAACCCAAGAGGTGTAGGTTGCAGTGAACCAAGATCATGCCACTGCACTCCAGCCTAGTGACAGACTGAGACTCCGTCCCCCGCAAAAAAAAGAAACCAGAGCTGGAAATGCTAAAATACCAGTTCTATCAGATCTAAGTCTCACTTGAAAAGTCCTAATAACCACTGTATATGAACAGTAAGTGGTAATAGAGTTGGGAAAATTAGAATGGTATTAAAATTTGGAAAACAGATTTCAACAATAAAAATAAATGTATCTCATAGTCAAGATATTCTTCTGTATTAATAACAAGAAGTGAAATGATATTTTCTTCTATAAATGCACACCATTCTAAAAAAAAATTAAAAATAAATGGTAAGACTCAAAGAAATGCATGACAAAAATGTGTAAAATTCTACTCTGAAATTCTTTCAGGACCTTGATTTTCCTTTGATTCTAATCAGAGATAACATGTATTTTATCCAGTAAGATTCTCTGCCTAAAAGATTGCAGTGAGATGAGAACCAAGGAAACAAAGATGTGAGGTTGGTTGGTTTGTTTGTTTTTCAGCAAAGTTTTCTCCAATCCTGAGACATGTAGGCTAGAAAAGAACATTTTTTAAAAAAATGGCTTAAATGTAAAAATAGGTTAAAATGCAAAGGGGACTTGAAATAAGCAAGTAACACCTCATGCTGTTTTATTGCAAATTCTGCATCAAGATAGGCAGCATCTAAGAAGAATGACACATACTCCCTTAAACTTTGCCAAGACATGAACTGTGTTCTTGATGGTGTCTGTAGGGATGATATCTGAATTATCTCCATGCAGGTAATCTTTTTTGGAACTCAGAGTAAGTTGCACTGAAGTTGCCACCTCTTTAATGCTGTGATATTTTCCATCTCGCTGAATATGGAGAACTTTTACCATATCCTTCCCATAGCCAGTTCGGACAAACTCCAACTCATCATTCTGCAATGAAAACACAGGCATCTTATTGAAGAAGGCTAAATGAAAGCCAAAAGTTAGGTGAAACTTATTTAAGCCTTCATTTTATCATACAGTTGCAAAAGATGAGATTCAGAGTATATATGGAAGCAATATCACATTCTACTTTTGAAGAAGAATGGGAACTTGTATAGAAAAAAGAGAATCCCAAGCAGCAAATGAAAATATATCAGATTGTTCTGAAGACTGACAGGTAGAGGGCTTTTTTGATAATAAATACGTTAATAGGACCTCCTGGGTCAAACCTATGCTGTTTTATTTAATCCCTACTAATCTAATCCTTGTAATAGCACCGTAAAATCCTTATAATCCCAGTGTAAAATGGGAACTAATATTCCCATTTTATGGAGGGAGAGGGTGAGTTTCAAAGAGATTAAGTGATTTGCCCTAATTCATACGGCTAGTAAAGGACAGAGCCAGGATTTGCACTCAAGTCTATTGACTCTAAGTTGTAGAATGGCCACTATGCGAACTGCTTTTCTTCTATAAAATGTCTTGACTGTGTTAGCTGGAAATAATTGCATGCCCTTTTTATAGAGAGTGATATTCTGGAGAAAATGCCCTGTGATCAATAGAAACAATTTGAAAATTGCCTTTTCTACTTGCTGCCGGGAAGAAGAGTAATTAGTGACAGGGTCCAGATTACCTTCAGGAGTGCAGAGCCAAGGCTGTCTGGCTGCAGGGAGAGCTATGCTTTTAGTGAAGAGACACTTAATTAAAGCTTGGTGATTGATGCATTACTACCCTTATCTGAAGCTGGAGCCTTGGCTAGTGAACACATTCATCTCCACTGGTAGAATCCATAAGATTTGTCCCTGGGCCTTACTGGTGTTTGAGGAAAGAGGCAGGAAGGAGTAGAAGAACAGAAAAATCTTATTTTATTTAGTACAGAAATTGAACATTAAAATAATGAAAGAAGGTGACAAAAATAAAAGTAAATAGAAAAACAGCACGCAGTAAGAGTCTGGGTAGAGAGACGAAGAGGGAACCTCATCTGCAAATCATACTTAGGATGTTCAGGTGTACCAAGGGCTGCCTAAATATCTATTTGAATAAAAACATTACCAGACTCTCTGAGGGGAATTTAAGAATACTAGACAAAGTCAGAAAGTACTGCTGTTGTTAAAGTAGGGAGTGGGAGGCTGCCTCAAATCTTGGAGATAGAGCTGGGCAGGGCAGGCTATTGTTGGTCATTGAACATGCCCTCCGGGGTTGAGATGTCTGAATTCAGTTCTTCCTTGTGAGAGGTTAAGGAAAACTCTTGCAGAGACCTCTGAAAAGCCTCTGGCCCAACATTTGGGGACTCATGCTGAAGAAAAGGGTCAATAGGAAAACCAAAGGAGCAGACTCAAGGGATCTCAGTAAGAACTACAAGCCTGATGGGGAAAGAGAAACTGTTGTGTGGTAGTGGCTTTGGGATTAAATGAAGTTCAAATTCAACCCTGCCACTTAAAGCTTTGTGGCTTGCAACAAGTAATTTAATGTTTCTGAGCCTCAGTTTCCCCATTTGCACAAATGGAAAGAAGCACCTCTACCTTGTAGGGCTGTTGATGAATGTCAAAGGCCTAGCTTAGTTCACAGTAGCTAGTGGTACACTCAGGTTAATCCCAGCAATAGAGGCCAGGTCTGGCTGTGGAAGCAGCAGCAGCAGAAGTAGCAGAGGGGACCTTGACTAAGGGTGCCAGTTTTCAGAGTGGAGTTCACTGCGGGCAGTAACAGATGGAAGACTCTGGTGTATCTTGAGCCACAAGGGACTCTACCTGAAGGAGGAAGGCATTTGGCTGGGTCGGGGCCCTTAAGTGGTATGGACTGGAGTCTGGAATGAAAGGTCTCCGAGATTATCCAACATCCCCAACACGTACCAGGACTCAACAAATGTTGCTCCTTAGCCTCATCCCTGCCCCTATATATTCAAGCAACAGTAGTTTAGTCTATGAAGGCAAGTGGTACCTACATGGTACACAGAAAGATTAAATGATAGCCGCCCTTCATATCCCCATTCCTGTTCAGCTCACCAGCATAATATCTGGCCACAGTTATTGCAAACTTTGCTTTAGCTATGCTGATCTAATCACGGCTGCCCAGGTGTTACATGCTTTTTCTGTCTGTTGGCCCTTGGATTTGCTATTCCTTCTTTCTTGAACACTTTCTCCCCCTTACTACCCAACTACCAACCTCTTTGCCTACCTAGCTTCTTCTAGATAGCCTTCAGGTCTCAGATGCCACTTCTCCCAGGGTTCACCCCAGCCCTTCGAGTCTGGGGTAGTTGCCCCTTTTAGGTGCTCTCAAAATACTTGTTATTGCCTTATCAGAATATTTATCAAATTGTATTGCAACTGCCTCTTTATGTGTCTGATTCATTCTAAAACAGTAAACTATGAAAGCAGGAACAAGTTTGATCTTGGTCTCCATGGCAACCTCAGCACTCAGCACAACGCCTGGAACATAAGTAGGTGCTTAATAAATGTATCATGAACGAATGGATGGTGCCACCACCGCCTCCACTGCTTGTGTGATGACACAGCATAGTTAATGAAAACACACAAAGGATCTCAATACAGGAAGAGCCACTTCAGCTCAGACCCCAATTAGGTAGTCCTTTTCCTGGGAAAGTGGGGCAAGGAATTTATGCCCTCTGATCACCACAGCCTGGAGATCACAGGCACAGCTGGCCAAAGAACAAAAAGCCCAGGAAGGGCAGAATTGAGTATAGAGAGAGTCGGTGAGGCAGCACAAAATGTTCACATTGCTAATAAGACAGCCTTCCAGTGCAGCACAGCCATCCCGGACCAGAGATCATGCAAGACATATGCAGGAGAGGTCAGCACTCCTTAGCAAGACCCTGACTGGGCTAAGCAGAGTTGGCCCTTGAGCAAAGTTTGAGTAATCAAGTTTACTGGCAATGAGTCCGTATGGAGGGAACTAATCACCTGAGCCTGGAGCAGGTGGAAAAAGTCTGGTGTGGGACAACCAAAAGCGTCCCTGCACTCAAAGAGCAGATAATGGCCTGGACCATAACCGAGGCTGTTCTCCCCCAGTTCTCTAATCAGATAAATCAGAAGTAGGTGTCAGAGTCCCATTGTGTAGAACGTAGGGAACGGTGTAGAGATCTCATACAGGAAAATACAAAGGGTGCTCTCTTCTGGAGAGGGAGCAGGTGGCTGAAAGGACAGGTTTTGGGCTCTGCAGTCAGGCAGCCCAGGCGAAATCCTTGTTCTGCCACGTATTAGCTCTGAATGGAGGCAAATTTCTCCATCTATAAAATGGGAATAATAGTAGTGTCCATCTCTAAGGTTTGATGTGCATGAGAAAAAAATATAAAGGACTTAGAAAAGTGTTTTACCAATAATCAGCACTCAATTAATAAGCACATATTAGCTATAATTATCATTGATAAACAATAATCACTCATCAAATTTTGCATTAAAGGATCTTTCCAGTTATTGACAGAAATAAATACCTAGAGTGCACACGGATGGAGAGCTGGAGTGGTCAAATCAAAGGGCTGCTACTATGATAAGGCCTACTTCTGCCTGCCTACCCTCAGGTACATTGGCCTTCTTTAAATGTTCATGATTACTGATACTCATCCCTTTGATTGTCCTTCCTCAGGCTTGTATGGTTTGAGAAGTTGTAAAAGTAAATCGATTTCCTAGAATAATACTCTGGAAAAAATATCAGCAGGAATAATTTTTCTTTTTATTTCTTTCCCTTTCTTTTCTTTTCTTTCTTTCCCTTTCTTTCTTTCTTTCTTTTCTTTCCTTCTTTCTTTCTTTCATTCTTTTTCTTTCTTTCTTTCTTTTTTTTTCAGGGTCTTGCTCTATCACCCAAGCCGGAGTGCAGTAGCATAATCACACCTCACTGCAGCCTCAACCTCCTGGATTTGAGTGATCCTCTCACATTAGCCTCCCAAGTAGCTGGAACTACAGGTGTACACCACCATATCTGGCTAACTTCTGTAGTTTTTTTTTAGAGATGGGATCTCACTATGTTGCTTAGGCTGGTCTCAAACTCCTGGGCTCAAGTGATATTCCCACCTTGGCCTCCCAAAGTGCTAGAATTATACGCGTGAGCCACCATGCCCAGCCAGGAATAAATCTTTACCTGGCTCTGTACAAGAAAAATCCCCTTTTCTACACATGTCTTAAAATGTAAAGGGATTATTTGTCTGCAAGTAATGTTGGAGACAGCACTCAGGGATTTTAAATGACTCATATATTTTCACTTCTGCAATAAGATAGTAAGTGTTCTATTATTTTCAGGCCATAATGAAAGTGATATAGATGTCACTACAGGTCTAGGGGTTCTTACCTTAGAGCCTTTTAGCTTCTAGAAGCCCAGTGGATGGATTTGGGTTGGAACGGTGTACTCCATGAGGTTGTAACTAAAAGTTTATTTGTTTAGGCGAGGGGAGAGGTGAATCTTTCTGGAAAGAGCATTCGTAGAATTTCGTTAGATTCCAAAAGGCCTCATGACTTATAAAAGTTTAAGAACCATTACTCTGTGTAATTGGTGTCCAAATTATTAGGATCACTTTGATCAAACTGACTTTGCCACGGTCTGACAACTAGTCATGAGGCGGCAGGAGGGAGAAGACTTGGTCATTTTCAGTGTACCACTGCCTGGATGCAATGGAACACTATTGTAAAGGTGAAGGCTCTAATGTCTGATTGCCTGAGTTTAATTTCTGCCTCCACCACCTGCTAGCTGTATGGCCCTGGGCAAGTTGCTTAATTTTTTTTGTTCCCTCCCCTTTGGATCTGTAAAATAGGGTAATGACAGCAGCTATTTCCTATAATTGTCATGAGGTTGAAAGTGACTAGCACATAGTGTCAGTAAATGTTAGCTATTATTATTATCTGACCTGCCAATTTGACCAAAAAAAAAATATTTCAAATCAGTTCCATCAGTAAGTGATAGGGAGATATCCTTGTTTATCTTTCTTTCTTTCTTTTTTTTTTTTTCAGTTTTAAAAACAGGATCCC